AATCAATAAAGTAACCAATTAATTATGTTGTAGTAATATATAATTAATTATGTAATCATACTATAATATATGTTATAGTGAATTAAGTAATCATACTATAAATCTTTAATGTATATTAAATTAATTAAATTTTTAATCATTTAATTAGTTGTACTAATGTTTATAATGAAATGTTGTAATTGATTAAGTAATTATACTATAAATCTATAATGTAATGCTATAATTAATTAAATTTCTAATTATTTAATTAAGTAATATACAAATGTTATAACTTATAACTTTATAAGTCAATTAATTACGTATTAATCAATATAATCTAATTATTAATTAATTACTAAAATCATTATGTAATTTATAAAATTATAAATCTTATGTAATATTATAAAATTATAATTAATTAAGTATCATTTAACTATAATGTAATGTTATAAACTTATAATTGATTAAGTATGATATTTAACTAGTAATTAAATTTATTAATATTTATCAATTTATCATATATAATTAATTAATTGCTAATTTACTATAGATATACTTAGAACTTGATAATTGAAGTAAATAACTAAATATATTATTATTCAATCAAATATACTATGTTATTCAAAAATAGTTCTTTTAATAACATTAAAAATTTAAAACACTTTTAATTGGATCATAATTCCAATTATTCACTTAAATAATGAAAACTTTAATATTAATATATTATAATATATTAAAGTTTTTAATATGGTGTAATTTATATGTAATGAGTATAATTGTATTAGTATATTTATTTAATTAGGTTATTGTAAAAATTTAACTTTTTCTATTTTAATTTTTTTTATATGTAAAATAATAGAAACCGCTCATTATTCACATTTTACAAATATTTCATTACAATTCAGGTTCCAAAACAGGTTCCAAACAGGTTCCAAAACAGGTTCCAAAAAGATTCCAAAACAAGTTCCAAACAGGTTTTAAAACAGGTTCCAAATAGGTTCCAAAACAGGTTCCAAACAGGTTCCAAAAATCGGTTCCAAACAGGGTACTCTTTTTAGGTTCTTTTTCCAAGTTCCGGTTCCAAAAAATTGGAACCTGAACCTACCAGCACAGTGTCGGTTCCGGTTCCGGTTCCGGTTCCGGTTCTTACCCCAGGTTTTGGTTCTACCTGCTATCCGTGCTCACCCCTAGGCGAAACAGTCCTGGTTTTGTCTGAGGAATTCTATCAGTTTCTCTCTTGTCTCGGGCCCAAGGCGAGAACCTATTTATGTCTTTCTTTCGGGATCGTCCGGATGTATCTACACTTTATCCAACTCTTCTATAGATGGTTGATCTGGTTCGGTCGGAGGGGTTGGATGAGACTGTAACTGCTATAAAACGTTACCTTTGCTCTTGAAGGTGTTCTTGTAACAATCTCTGGAAACCTTAGGGTCGCCTTTGATTTCTCGTACTCCCCATTTTGTAGGAAACCTAATCGTTTGGTGGAAAGTGGATGGGACAGCTCGCATGTCGTGGATCCAAGGTCGGCCCAAGATAACATTGTATGGTGAAGGACAGTCGATCACTAGAAAGACGGTCTGTTTGTTTACTCTGCTAGCGTAGATAGGAAGGACGATCTCTCCAATGGTGTATTTCTGCTCAGAACTAAACCCAACCAGTAGGGTCGGCCACCTGTTGATGTTTGCTTCCTCCAGACCCATAGCCTTCACCGCTTCAAGGAAAAGGATGTTTGCTGAGGGTCCCCCATCTATGAATACCCTCTTGACTAGGATGTTGGCGATCTGGAAGGAGATGACTAGAGCATCGTGATGGGGGGCGGCCAGGGTGACCGGCTCGTCATCTTCGAACTGAATTACCTGGTGGGAGTGTGACCGAGAAGGCGAATGGATGGATTGGATTTCATGGTGGCTGTTGGCTTTGGCGTAGCGTTTGGCTGAGGAGTAACTTACCCCACTGATCTTTGACCCTCTTGAGATGATATTGTAGAATCCTTTTGGCGTAGGTTCCTGCGGAGATAGAGATGTTGCTTTCGTGCTTTTCTGGATGATGGTACTCTTCCCTTTATCTGTCAACAGATCTCGGAGATGTCCCCTCTTCAATAGTGCGACGACTTCCAACCGCAGGGCAATTCAGTCTGGGGTGTTATGTCCATGGTCGCCGTGGAACTCGCACCACTTGGTCGTGTCTCTCCTTGCTTCGGCATTGAGCTTGCCTGTCCATTTAACACTATATCCCATTCCTTTTATGATCGCCACCACCTAGGCTGGTTCGACGTTGAGGTTGTACTCCAGGATTTTGTATCATATCAGTCCAGTTGGTTTGTTGTCGGTTCTAAGTGGCTGGCAGTTATATGGCTTTCTTACTTTGTTCTGGTTACGAGGAGGGGGTTGGTGACGGGGTTTAATCGATCTAAACTCTGGCCTTCTATCATTCGGCCTTGGGTCATACCTGGCGTGTATTGCCTGATTCATCTCATCTTCTTCCCACCTTATATGAATCACTGCTCTGGCCAAGGTGTCCTCCATCATGGTGCAGTCAAGCTTCGTTAGCTCTTTGTATAACTCTCCATCCGGGAGGAGACTCTTTCTGAAGGCGTCTACTGCTGTCTTGGGGTTGTAAGAAGGAATGAAAATTTTTTCTTTGTTGAATCTGCTGACGTACTCTCTCAGCGGCTTCCCCCTTTTTTGGTATACTTTGTAAAGGTCGGCTGATAGTTTCTCAAGTTTCTTGCTGCTGGCAAATTGCTCCGTGAAGGTGCCGGTGAGCTGTGCGAATGAGTCGATGGAACTGTTCGGGAGATTAGTGTGTCACTGAAGAGTTGGACCAGATAAGCTTGAACCAAAACTCTTACACATGCAGGCTTCTCTCAGCGCTCGGGGTATTGAGACAGTGAACATTCGCTGCTTGTACGAGGCTATGTGATCATCTGGGTCAGTTGTTCCGTCATAGGGCTTCATGCCAGGGATAGTGAATTTGTGGGGCATGTCGGCTAGAGCGATCGCATCCACGAAAGGTGAATCGGCGTAACAGTGAGGCCTACTCTTTTTGGTAGGGATCGGCATTCTTGGTATGTGCCTCATCACTGCCTCTACGTCAGTCAGTCTCTTGGCCAATATCTGTTCCATGGGAGAGGGGGATACCGGTAGGTCATCCCGCTTGACTTGGTTTGTTAAAGGATTCGCACTCGGCACATTTTATTGGGTCAATCCGCGTGGTGTAGCCTGGTGGATCATTCCTTCGTGTATTGCTTGGTAGGTTGAATCACCATTCATTTCCTCCGGTTGGGTGACTCCCATTGTAACTGATCAGGTGTTTCGCCTTACATGAATGGTCAGAGGGGTTGTTTGGTACTCGGTCGGTCCGTTGGGATGGATGGACTCGAAGGGGATGGTTTGGTGTGGGTGACCACTCAACCCGCGAGGGTGAACCGAGCCGAATGAAGTTTGTGTAGGAATGCTTGACTGAAGGTAAGGTGGGATGGCGAGGATGTGCGGTTCTTGTTGTAGCGAGCTTTCTGTCACTTGGACTTCTTGATCTGATGCCTGTAGTGGATCGACTGAGTGGGGTTCCGTTGGCAGATCCCTTTCTTCATGAGTCAGGATCGAATCGTTGACCACCTACGAACATAATTGACGCGACCTTTTATCTGAGGCCATGGGTCTGTACTCTGGGGTGTGGAGAGGCTGCATAGATGGCACCGAGGCGCAGAACAGATTGGGTGGTACCTGACAAGGCAGAAGCTCAAGATCATAAAACTGACTTACCTTCTCTTTCAAATACTGGTTTTCGGCCTTGATAGAGGCGTTTTCAATCTGAATGACAGTGTACTCAACTTCCAGTGCGGCCACCTTATTTGAGTTCTGTTGCATGAGAGCAGTCAGAGCTTCCAGTTTGGCCTCGAGGCCGGGGTTAGCATTGTCAGAATTGTCAGCCATGGAAAGTTCCTTTATGTAGCAGGGTTTGTTGAATCGAATGATTGCTAGAGGTCCCACGATGGGCGTCAAACTGTAGACGTAAAAATCTACCTGTACGGAAAAAGGGACTGATCTCGTGAGGTTGAGGCCACTAGCGATCTGCTATACCTGCACACGTAGAGAAACAAACGTGAAGCGACAGAAAACACTGGGGTGGTGATTGCCATAGGCACTCCGACGCTCAAGTCAGCAAGGTTGAAAGAGGCTGATTTAGTAAGGGCTAGGGAGTAGAATGGTTACTAGAAGTCTAGTCGGGGACTATGACTACGGCTATGATGTGAAGTTCTCAAGTTGGAACTCCGGGGTCTGAAGGTGTAATGTAATCTGTCTTGTGAGAGGGTTGACCTCTGTTTAAATAGTAGCTCTCTGGTCTCCCAATCCTGATTACTATGAGAACTCCCAATCCTGGTAGGATTGGGAGTTCTCATAGTAATCCGTTTCCTCTAGGGATATATCCTTTAGCCCCATTATCCTGGCGTGAAAGGGAGTCCAAGTATGACTCTAACATGGACCTTGGAGGAATTAGGATGGTAATGGACTGCTTTATCAGTGTTCGAGTAGGAATGTGATCCGTAGGTGACCGTGGGCTCTGAATTCGATCATAGGTCCAGGAAGTGTATTGGGATTAGGAGGCCTGTGTCTAGATGGTTCAGACCGACTGTACCCCATATCAAATGGGCCTTATCCGGGGAGTTCTAGCTTGGGTCGCACCAGGATTGGGCCTGGGCTTTTCCTCACTGTCAGACGCACTATCCTATTTAGGCCGAGGACATTTTTTGGCCGTAACATAGATATTAGTAAAAATAAATTTCATACTTCTAATTATCCAGAAGGTAGAGCCGTGGCCCGTAGAGGTGTCTTCTTGAAACTTTTTAAACCTGATGGGTGTCATTGTTATTTTTTTTACTTTTTGAAGGCAGCTGTATTTTACCTTAATTTTTTCAGTTTGTAATTTATGGAACAATAATCTTACCCTTACAAATATATACAAAAATTGAGGTGAGAAAAAGATGAATAAAAGAGCGAAATAAAAAGTAAAAAAACTCGTTATATTTGCTTCCCTCTTTAATTGTCAGCTTACATTACTCTTTGCGAAAACGACCTAGTTATTGTACTTAAACCGCGAACGGGAAGCGGTTAGGCTGAACCGCCTGGAAGCACCGAGTCTCGGTTTCAATCTCCAACTTGAGTTGAAAACAAAAGCGAGTCAAAATCCGTGTAGCGAGGACAAGTAGAATTTTAATCCGGAACTCACAGGATGAACAATATTTCAGATTCATCTAAAACCAGAAAACGCCAACGAGACGAAGACATCGACGCTGAAAGCAGCCGCGCTGATCCTACTCTTTCACTCGGTACTATCCAATTTTTTTCTCCTAATATTTTAATTTTTGAACAATTTTATGTATTTTCAATTGAAATTATTGATGAATGCAGAGGAGAATCTTACTTTTAGTGACACTTTGGTGGCGCTTCGCATAATCCGAGCTCAGTTCCCGCACATTGACAAGGTTACGCTATATAATTTTGGTGCACAAAGTGATTTATAAGTTTCTTACCAGCTCAATTGAGCTCGTCAATCATCAATGTGGTTTTTTTTTTCAGGTCTCAATTCAGCCGTTCATTTTAAAATCGCAATTATACAGTAGTGTAGAGGACAGAACACAAGTGGATAGAGAATTAGAGGTATTGTTCTGTGATTCTGAAGTTCTATAAAATCTAGCTTTATTTGACTAGTTATATTTGAATCTGAAATTGGTTTCGTTTGTGTAGTCTTTGAGGAGGGAGAAAGTATTGCGCGTTTTCAAACTAAATACGGGACAAGATGATCATGCTATAATGTTTTTGGAGGACTACCTAAACCAGGTTCTTCAATTGAATGTTTGATAGATAGAAATTTGGGTTTGATTTTTTGCTAACTAGTGGTAGAACATTGTACAATGTCAAGTTCAATTTTTTTTTTTTAATTGGCAATGTGTTAATGGTTTACCTTGTGTTTGAAATTCATTTGTAGATGGAACGTGTTGTGAAAAGAATTAAAGAAAAGAAGCGGGGTGATGTTGAAGTTTTTGAGTGGTTTAGAGAACATGTTATTGATTCCAAGCTTGAACCTAGTATTGAACATCAAGAGCTCGTGAGTGATTATGATGTCAATTACTTATGTTGTTCATACCTTTTACTCCACTTCTTATGTTTTGTTTTCAAAAATTCGTAATCATAACCCTTTATTCAGTATAACTAATTCAAATTCACTCAAAAAGTCCCTAATAGGCATGTATGTTTACTTCAATTTTTATGGTTTTGCTGGTTGCTGCAGTATTCACTCTTATCACTTGGTGGAAAGGTGAAGGATGAGCATATGTCTCTTTTGATTAATGCTGGACTTCTTGTAAGTGAACTGAAATTTCTCTTCTCTTTAATCTATTAAATTGTCGCTGTGGTTTGAATTCCTTGATTGTTTGTTGTGTATTTTGGGGGCTCTTTTGCTTTGATATGATAATAGTATGCATAATTCGGTTGGGAAGAATTGAACAATTTTGGATGATAAAACATGGAGGCTCTTAAATGAAAATGTAAATTCATTATATTGTTGCAGTGGTTGGAATTCGATCCCTGTTATTTACATAAATGGATTAGAGGAAAATACAGGAGTTTTCTAGTAGAGTACATGGAGTGTTGTCATCCTACATCTATTCCAAATGTGCCCCATGTATGTGCCACTGTTGCAGAAGCACTTTAGTAAATAATTTGGCAACTTTTTATAGTGGATGTCATATACTTTTTGTCTTTACAGTTCTTAAGTACTTGTTCTCCATGTTATCCTCTTGTTATATTTAATAAGTGTCCAAGCTTTCCGATAGTCTGGTTATACCACATAACTGAAACTAGAATTATTTATTGTAAGTTTCCAGTATTTTTTGTGGGTGGAGCAGGTTTGAGGCTCCCTTGTTTATGTGGACTTGTAGATGGAATTTCGGGGTAATTTACCCCTACTGTCTGAGAGTAAACTTAAGTTGGAAATATATAAATCTGTCACCAATCATTTAACTTGTTTTATATAGAATAGCCAGTTAATTGTAATTGTTCTGTACTTTTCAACTATATCTTATTTAATTTTACCTTCCTTTTACATTGTTTATATTGGTTTTTCCCTGACCACATTGATGGTCTCTGTTTCTTGCTTACACTGACTCGTGTTTTATAGACTCGCCAACTAATTGATCCAAACATGTACTGGTTTGCAATTCCAAATATTGGTTCAGTACTGAAGGGCCTCTCTCAGGTATATGGAAGCTTTTATTTCTTTACCTAGTGCTAGATAATAGAAAGTATTTGTACATGTCCTCACTGAGAAAGTCTATATTTGCTTTGACTACAACCTAGGAAGTAACCTCCAAGGCTCCTATGGTCCTTGGCATTGGTATAAAAACAGAACATGAGCACTAGGTTGTAGTCAAAACAAACTCCTGAAAGGTGATCATGTTTGTGTTGATTGTTGAATTATTAGGACACCATTCAATTTGCATCTGAAAGTTGTTTTTTCTCAACTTTTGAAAGCAAAAATACAAAGAAATAGTGAGTAAATTACCGCTCATACCTTATAGAGAAAGAGATAATTGTAAAAATTAGCTTTTCAAAAAGGCAAAGTACAAAGTGAAAAGTTGCCCAAATGCTACCTGAGTTTAACAAATTGCTTCAGAGCAAAGTGTGGCATGTGACAGTGGTGCTTTCTTCTGTTCAAATGTTAGATAAATTTATTTATTCTTTCATTCCCTATCCAGGGAAGAAAGGAACTTCTTTCTTTACTAAACCGCAGAAGATACAAAGAGATGATGTTGGCCCCTCTAGAGAAGAAGCGACTTCGATTCTCTCCACTGGATATGAGATTTCACCTTCGTGATTTGATTGGATCTGGTAACCTCAAAACCATCCATACACCAACTGGTTTAGTTGTCCGGGTTTTAAAGGACTAAACTTAGGAAGATACCAGTTCCCATTGGTTTGTGATATTCCTCTCTTGCCTGTCAATTATAAGAAGAGGTTTCACTGCTCATACTTTTAGAATATTTAGCTTTCGATTCTTTATATAAATTAACACTTAAAACAGTACAATATTTGTCTAGGTTGACAAACTGAGATCAAACAAGGATTTCAGGCGGTCATTTGGATTAGCATAATAAAGTCAAAATGACGTGAGTGTCTTTTCTTCTGGGTCTCGTATTATTCATTATTTATTAATTTAATTATTTGTAGGTATGTTGTAACTTCTCGATGTTTTTAATTGAAACACTGAGAGATTCAACAATAAAAGCATTTCAGGTCATTTATGCAGTATGCAATAACCTATCTTCTCATGATGCTATTTTTTATTTTTATTATTATTTTTTTCTTTTTTGTGCCATAAAGAAGATTTCTAGTCATTATCAATGTAATTTCCAACATTGTTATACTAGTTCTTCGTGTTGCGTGTTATGAAGTTGGCTTCTCTATATTTGGTTTATTGTTGATGTACATAGCTGGGCTAGGTGAAGTATGCTTTAAGGAAAATAGATTATTGGATTAAAAGGGATATATGTACTATTTATAAAAGCATATGATATAACGTGTTAAATCTTTTGGTCAGAATAAAAGGACGTTATCAATTATAATAATAAGTTAATCTATCCTTTAAACTGTACGCTAGTTGAGATGGTTTAGATGGACTACAAGAAGTTTTGGGTGTCAGTGTTATTCTGAGTCATTGGGTCTGGGTGTTCGGTTAGAGTGTGGGGATTTGATGAGTAATGGGGCCTCAAAAAAGAACTGAGATGTTTAGGGTCCGCTTGGGAGTTTTATGGTAACGGTTATGAAGGTAAACTATCGTAGCGGTTTTGAGGGTAAACCATCGTAGCGGTTTTGAGGGGTTTTTAATAGCGGTTTTTAAACTACCATAGCTGTTTTAAGGGGTTTTTAATAGCGGTTTTTAAAACACTCAACCTGTGTTTGAGAGTTTATTTTTCAGCGATTCTGACAGTTTTTTAAAAGGATAAATTTACATATATGTCTATAAAAATACCCCAATTTCAATCAATACTTAGGAGTTTTGTCTTTTCAATTACAAAGTAAAGGTTCTTTATTTGTTTTCTACTTATAAGTATTTTATAACTTCAAATGTGATAAAATCTTCTTATCCTTCTTCGCCTTTCTTTGCAAAATCTGAAATGATTGAAAAATTGTAGCTCCACTTTTCTAAGAAAGCATCTAGAAATGAGATTTTAATAATTTTTTTTTATGAGTATTTAAAATTATTTTATATTTAATATAGTTGGAGATGCGTATAATATGTTTAAATTTTTTTTTTGAATATAATTGGGATAATTTTATAGTGGACAGGGTAGAGATGGCAATGAGCCTGATATTTTCGGGTACCTGGCCCGAAAAAGGTTGGGCTTTATCCGATGTTCGTAGGCTTAGGCCTGAGCCTAATTTTAAGGCTCGACCTCGGGTACGGGTCAGGCTTGGATATGTCTTTCGGCTCGGCCCTACATGGCTGGATGGATGTATTTTGTAGAAAATTATTTATATATTTGGTGAGTATTCAAAAATAAATTAATATTTAAAAATTATTTCTAGAATTAAAAATATAAAAAAAATTAATATTTATTAATATTTAAAAATTCACATTATAAAAATAGACGGGTTTGGGTCGGGCTGGGCTTGAGATTACAAAAAGCTAGTCATGTGGGGCTTGGGATTTACCTGTCATACTCGTGATAGGCCCAGTTTGGGCTTGGGCTTGGGTCTGGGCCAAGGGACACCCGGTCTTGGCCTGACCCATTGCCATCACTAGGATATGGTATTTGTGAAATAAAAGTTTAAAACTAATCAAAATTTTATAAACCCCTAATAAATACACTACATTGGTTTTGTGAAATTTTTAAGTCAGTCAAAACCAGTGCATAAAAAATCTGGCAAGCAATGGTTTTAGAACAATTTAAAACCAATCTAATTAAAAATCATTCCAAACCAATAAAAAAAAAAAAAAAAAAAAAAAACTTTTAAGCAGACCTTAAAAGTAGTAGGCTTTTCAATTTCAAATTTTCTTGTCATGGAAGAAGCTTGTTCTTGTTGTTTTGAATCTAATTTGGAAATTCTGAAAACTTGTCGAAAAATCTAGCATTGTAACCAAAGACTTGGACGGTATACTGAGACAGTGGAAGTCATAAGCATTATACAGTATCATTTGAAATAGAAGCGAATTGATATACGCATAAATTATCGCAGTCACGTATAAAACACATGAAAACAAATTGATGGCAGTGTCAAGTATCATTGGTTCAATCAAAGTTTTAGAGCAGCACACAAAGACGTGAAGCAGTTAAAGAATGACATGACGGGTGGTGAGTTATATTAATTGGATTTGGATGGAGGTTGTGGACGCAAGACATTGTGATAAAGAATAATAATACTTGTATTACAATTACAACCTTAATTGCTGGGAAAAAACTAATCAAATGAATGATGATATTACTTACATGCATGGTTAATGTCATAGTCAAGTTAAAATAGTGATAGAGAGAGAGAGAGAGAGAGAGAGGGTGATAGCAATATGTTTTGAGAATCCAATGCAATGAATTGAGCATAATGAGATTGACAGGGGTTCTAGATGAGGGCCGGGCTCTGCCAACTCCACATAATTTGGACCAGCCATTGTTGAATTATTATCCCTTGGAGGGACCATCTTGCCAGAAAACTCACTTCCACTTAATTATTAAACCAACACCAATAGAATTCTCATGATTGAGACTGAACCTGTTTCACTGCCATCTGCCTTGAATATCCATCTTCTCCATTAAATGTTTGCATCTTCAGCTTATCGTGTGTGGATTTTTATCATCTATTTTGTAAATCGATCCACCAAAAACCATTTATGTAGTTCACCACGCTCGCATATATTATATGTTAGGAGGTAGTATCTAGCTTTTTGGTTAACAAGCACGTATCAGATGGTATAAAAGGTTTTTTTCTTTTTTTTTTTCTTTTTAATGATCGGGTGTTTAGATTAGTTTGTGTATATCTTAACTAATCTTCAAAATCTATTAAACATATTATAAACCTAATATTTCAAGATATTTAGGTTATCTCGAAGTGATTTGAACCTAGAAGATAAAAAAGGTAAACTTATGTTAAATTATTATACTTTTGTTTGGATGTACATATATCAATTCTGCTGTGCATTATTGTAACATGAAAAGACTTCTAATTCGCAATTAATTCAGCAGTAATTTACTAGTAGGGTCATTTCTGTCTGAATTTAATTATGTTCCCTGTTTCGCAATATCTGGAAAAGATTACTCCATTCATTTTAAACAAAGGTCCAGCCATCCGCAGGCTCATGAAGCTCAGGCTCTAGCAGCAACAAGTCCTTTTAAAAGTGGTCTAAGTTGGTAGATCAACTGAATTAACCAATAATAAGTATTGATTAGTTATAAAGGCCTTAATTTAAAAGAAAGTTATTGGCGAAACGGGCACATCTTGTCTTCATCTGTGTATGCCGCCAATAATTGATCATGGACCTGGAATTTCGACTATCATTTTTATTTTAATAATTTGTAATGGGGCTGTCAGGTAGGGTTTCCTGATCCTCCTTGGAAGCAGCCACATGCTATTGGATTATATAATGCCAATTGATTTGATGATGACACACACATTATAAAGTTGGCTTCTCCCATCATGCCAAAAAATAAAAATTAAAAGTTGCTCCTTGATTAGAACGGTAGTTTTAATATTAAAACTAATTTTAATTAATAATCTTATCTTCTTCTTTAAAAAAGATTCATCAACTTAATTAATAACATCTTAATAATTTATAATATATATATATATATATATATGGTGCTTAATAGATAACTATAACAAGGGTTAAAGACTTGGCCTTAAATTAATATATAGTTTAATTTTCTCTTCTAATAAAGAATATATATATATATTGAATGATCGGGAGTGTTTGGATCAATTTATGCATACTTTAACTAAGTTTCAGGGATCTTGAAGTTGATGACCAGATAAATCTCCTCAATGATCATCTCTATTAACAATGTAGGTATGCCGAACTCAAGACCTCTTGAATAATACACTTAAGAGTTTTAATTGATCGTTAGACCATCCAATGGTGGTTAATATTGATTATATAATTGTGTTGAAGCTTGGGTAACATGTGCAGAATTCGAGGATCAAATGTCTTAAACAATATTCTTGTATATAAAACAAAGGATGGAATGTCAGATATGGCTGCTTAGATTATTTAAACGTTTTGACAGTAAACTGCATATGACCAGAATAATTTCCAAATCCAGATCATGAGTCGTGACCTTTAAATTTTTCTACTCTTGATAATTTTTTTAATCATTATTATGGCTAATTTAAGATCTCAGTACGTCACTACTAATGCGTACGTATTTCATAGTGATATTAACATATTGCTATTTTATCACGAGTAATGTTTATATTTTTTAAATCTTATCATAATAACATGTTATTTTATGTGACATTATAGCATACTTAGATATATAACACTAATACATGATTAAAAAAAATAAAAAAATCTTATCAGATTTAGGGGAATATGCCCGTAATCTGATACGAATATAAGATAATAGAATCTAAGTGGCTCTTTAGAAAATAAAAAAAGAAAAAGTTTAACATCATTAAGACTGTTAAGAGATCTTTCTACGTAGATATATATATATATATATATAGAATAGTGATTAGAGTTTTCTTGTGGATGTGGGCTAAAAAAAGGATAAATTGAAATGTATCACAATCAATCAGTTTCTGCAATCTTCTTCCTTCTCAAAGCCACGTAAATATGTTACTGCATGCTCGTGGAATCTGTATTTAATTGCAAATATTGTTATACAAGGAAAGTCTA